AAGAGAGGTCCAGAGGAATTTCTCTAAGGACAGACAGTATTGATGCAGCACTCTCTTCTGCTGTTAAACTGTCATTGGCTTCTAAAAGGAGTGATTTGCTGAGATGCTGTATTTTCACGCCTTCTGCCCTCAAGTATTAAAGCATCAATTTGGAAATTTGAAATCAAAACTGTTCCATAAAACCAATTCAGTTTTGTAAAGTATATGGATCAAAGCTGTCTCTCATTCATTCACATATTACTGAGTTACTACTATGGTACCAAGTACTGCAATGGGGTACTAGGGGTATGAGGATAACCCAGACTCTCTCTTTGACCTAAAACACTGTGAAGTCAGATGAGAGATTTCAATATAATGTGATAAATTGTGTACCAGGTGCTAAGTGGTTATAGAGAAAGGAATACATTAAATGTGGAAATATTTGATAAAGAGACAATATTTTGAGTTGGGTCTTGAAAGATGAGTAGTTCACTCTCCTTTAATGTCTAATCTAAAGCATTTTATGCATAGAGAATCATTTATGTGTAAAGATTCAGATCAACAAAAATGTATTTTGGGAGTTCTGTATAGTTCAAATATTGACTATGACAAGTGAGGCAGGAGAATTAGACAGGGCTTGGTCACCAGATAATAAAGGTGCTAAACTAAGGAATGGGACAGTGAAATGCAATGTGGAGGTATCAGAAGCATAAACATAAGGAGTACTGCTGATAACTGATTTAGGATGCTCAGTCTAGAACCACTAGAATAAACTAATGAGGGTGGTGGCAAGGGAGAACAGTCCTGAGGCTATTACAATCATCCAGGGGAGATGTGAGGACCCAAATCTGGACAGGAGATATATAGAGAAGAAGGGAATTCAAATGGTACTAAGGAAGTAGAAATGACCTGACTTAATGAGCATCAGAGTATATCTTGGGCATTTTGAGTTTGAAAGGACTGTGAGACTCAGCATAGTACCTAAGATGATGGGCTTTTTAGTCTGACTATCAGAGTCTAAACCATGGCTCTGCTATTTTAGCATGATACCTTGGGCAAAGTACTTAGCCTCTCTGAGCCTCACTTTTCCTCATTCACAAAAAGGAGATGACAATGCCTACCTCCTAGGACTCTGGTGAGGAAGAAGTGAATGGGTATAAAGCACAGAGCACAGTGTCCAGCATAGCAGAAGCACTGGATAAACATTAGCTATCACTGGCCACATTCCAGTGTGCAGTTAGAGAACTAGAAAGATGATCTGAAATTCAGCAGATATGACTGACTAGAGATAGGTATCTGGGACTCAGTGTTGTATAAACAGTAGTTACAGCCATGTGTGTGAACATCCAGAGAGTGAGTATGGATATTGTGGCACCTAGTACAGTGCCTGGCAATAGTGGTTGAGTGTTCAGTAAATTTTGTTGAAAGGGTCAGAGCCAGACTAGCATATAGCAAGCCAGGCCCCTAGGGCATAAATGTACTTGTACACCTTGAGAGTGAGGACCCCTTAAATGTCATGCCCTAGAAGCCTGTTTACCTGCCCGGTATGTGTGGAATGAAAAGCGAAAAGGCTGAGGCTGCTGCCTAGGAGAACGCTACACATTGAAGGGCCAGTCAGACGAAGGAAAGTTAATTTGTTCAAGTGGTGAATGAATAACAAGAGTTAGAGGAAAGAGGAGAATCAGAATAAAATGATTTCATGGAAAGAGTTTCCTGAAAAGGCAGAAATTAACAACTAGAAATGACTTAGAGCAGTCAGTAGATAAACTCTTAATCATCCCCTAGGAGGTCATTGCTGATTGGGACAATAGTCATTTCATTATATGAATGGGAGTAATAAAGAGCTACTCAAAAGTACATTAAAGAGCTGAAGAGAATTGAGAAAATTAAAAAGAAAGCTGGGTAGGGCACTAGCCCCATATACTGAGGCTGGCCCTGGCCAAACTGCAACAACAATAAAAATAATAATAACCAAGCGTTGTGGCAGGCTCCTGTAGTCCCAGCTACTCGGGAAGCTGAGGCAAGAGAATCACCTAAGCCCAGGAGTTGCAGGTTGCTGTGAGCTGTGATGCCACAGCACTCTACCAAAGGCAATAAAGTGACACTCTGTCTCAAAAAATAATAAGTGTAGATGGGGGAGGTCAGATCAAGGGAGGATGAATGGTGGGATCATACCAATGGTGCATAATGCAAGGGCACATGTAGGATCTATTAGTATAGAGTATAAATGTCTTAACACAATAGCTAAGTAAACAAGATGAGGTATATATTAACCAGTGTGATGTAAGCATTCCTAATTCTATATGAAATCACATTGTACCCCATAAATGCATTAATGTATACATGATGTATACGTTTCTGATTTAATAAAAAAAGAAAAATAAATAAATAAATAATAAAAAAAGAAAGGAAAGCCAGCAGGAAAGAAAGGAGAAAGAGAGAGAACCAGCATACGCCAGCCTACATATTGTCTCACTAATCCTGTCAACAGCACTGTAAGGTAGATATTCTTATTAAACTACTGTTATACCATTTTACATTAGACAAAAGGTAAGGTTCAGAGTTTATATGACTTGTTCAATGTTACCCAGTCAATCATGAGGCAGAAACATGATTCAAACCTAGTTCTGTCTGATCTGATTCTAAACCCTGTTTTTTCATTCAACCACACTGCACAGTTGGCCCTCCCTGTCCATGGTTTCCATATCCACAGAATCAAGCAACTACGAATTCAAAAGATTCAGAAGAAAAAATGGATGGTTGTGTCTGTATGGAACATGTACAGACATATTTTTCTTACTATTACTCTCTAAACAATGTGTATATTGTATTAGCCACTATAAGTAACCTAAGATAATTTAAAGTATATAGTAGGGTAAGCATAGGTAATATGCAAATACTATGACATTTTATATCAGAGACTTGAGCATCTGTAGATTTTGGTATCTGCAGAGGGGCCTGCAAGCCATCTTCTGCTGATACTGAGGGATAGCTGTAAATGGATACAAATATGGACGCTATTTAGGAGTGCCCAGTGTCAAGTAAAGAAGTGCTAAGGAGAGAGGCAGGCCTGGTGGAGGCTGGGAGGCATCAACATGCAGAGGCACCCATCTGCAGCTTGGAGATTTCCCTCACAGTGTTGGCTTGCCTAGAAAGAGGGCAGACAGGTGGCTGGTCTCACATAGAGGTTGGGATTGCAGGGTAGGTGCAGCATTGGAAAGGGAATTAAGAAAATTGATAAGTGGGCTCGGCACCTGTGGCTCAAGTGGCTAAGGCACCAGCAATGTACACCCAAGGTGGCGGGTTCAAATCCAGCCC